GATCTTTTGAACAAAGCAATCAAGAAATAGCGACCAATTCCAGGTCACACACATCTTTGATGACCCTGAACAAATTGACGAAGTTTGGTTTGGAAGTTTTTATGCATCCGTCATATAGCCCAGGTCTTGCCCCGTCTGATTTCCATTTATTCTGGTCCCTGCAAACCCTGCCTAGATGGTAAAAAATTGGCCGACCAAAGAGCCGCGGAAAATCATTCGGCCTAGTTTTTCGCCGATAAACCACAAAAGTTCTATGCCGATGGAATTTTGAACCTAACCAAAAAATGGCAAAGGGTTATAAAAAATAATGATCAGTATTTACTTGCTTAAAATTGATTTTCAGTGAAGAATCTATATTACTATTCCTTGCAATTATGAGAGTGATTAATAAACTCGCACGAATAGAAGGTATGTATGTGAAGATATTTACACCAGTAAGATCTTAAGCCAAGGAATTAAGGTATATGCGTCAAGGGTTTTTACTGAGTGTCTGGTCCTTCTTATAGTTCTCATAGTCTGAAATCAAAATAATTATCCAGACCATTAATATATCGAAGCAGTGTCATAAAAGACATTTCCAACAAATTCCCCTCTCTTTATACGTTAACCAATTTGTGAATGTGGGTTCCACCGCGTTAAACAAAGTGGAGACCCTTCTCTTTAATGACGAACACGGCAAACATTTAAAGGACTACGATTTGACGATATCCATCTGGTAATGTATGTTCCCTTAGAGGGAAAGACGGCTCTGTCGGCACACTGATGTCCTCACAAATACCAAGCCTAACATCACCGCAATACAAAAAATGTTTTTGCCCTGCTATAGCTCCGTCTTTATTGGATAGGACTTCTCCGAGCCGTCAGCCTCGACATCTAGCGAAGAATTACTCCTGCACACAAGTAATACTTTGAACTGAGTAGACAACTGAGACGGAAAAAACTATCTCATTATAAAAAAGATACTCTCTATAAGTCACTCAACATGCCCGTCCTGGAATACGACGCAGAAGTATGGATAATGAAAACATCTTAAGAAGCGACCCTTGTAGAGTTCGCTTGGAAGATTCTGAAGACGATTTATGGGCCTTTGCGCATTGGCGACGCGACGGCGAATACCGCAGACGATGTTGCGATGAGCTGTATGAATTTCACAGCAATATAGATATAGTGTAGCGAATAAAAACACTGCGGGTCCGCTGGCTCGGTTACGTCGTACGAATGGACACACACAGGATCTCCAATCCTGAATATAATCAACACGGATCCGGATGAGGACAAGGCCGTATCTGCGATTGAAAGCCCAGTTAAAGAAGCACTTGGCTTCAACTAACCTTTCCAATAGACGTCAGTTGGCACGAAAAGAAAGAAGTTGGGGGCTTTATTGGACTGAGCCTAAGTCGCTTGGGAGGCTATTGGTCTAAGAGAAAAGAAAATGAACAACAAAAATCTTACTCTGTTGAATTATATGTACACTTACTTGTGTAGTTAATCACTTTTATCTGGAAGCAATGAGGAAGCGAGCAAATCGGTTGGAAGCGTACAAAGCACATCTGTGCAATGCGGTCAACGCTGTCGCCAATTCGCATTGATTCCACTTACATATCTCCTCCACCAAACAAAATTTCGAGTAACTGGACGGAAGCTTTGAAATCGATATGCAGATGAGCTGATGCAAACCAAAAAAAAAAAGAAAAAAACACACAAATACAACGAATTTTGCTGCGTTCAACCAATTGTGCCGCATTTTGTCATCTTTGCAATTGACAGCGCCAACAACAGGAACAAAAACAACTACATAAAATACTTGCAGATGAGCGCGACAACAGCCGGCGATACAGCGAATATCCAATAAGCAATAACAACTATTGAACATATTGTTGATCAGCACACACGATGATCAACGGTGGCAACAGGAGCAGCAGCAGTAGCGGCAGCAGCGGCAACAGCACTAACAACAACACAAATATATCGATTGCACATGAGCTTAACCGATTGCAGCCAAATCGCAAAACTGTTGTAAAATCGCTGAGAGCCGCCAATTTGCACAGCTTTCGCTGACATTATTGTTGCCACACCAGCCAGTTGTTGTATTGTCGATATTTTTTATTTGTTATATTGCTGTTGATTTGGCCGTGGTCTTAACTGATTTGCTGTTGCTGGTGCTGCGCAAAGCATAAACGTTGTTGTTACTGCTGCTGTCAACTGCTTTTGTTGTTGTTTTTGTCGTCGTCGTCGAACTGATCTGCGGTGTCGATTATGTCGCGCATTCGAACATGAGCATCCGCTCAGCGCCCGCTGCTGCGCCGCGTCGTTGCACCCGCTGCATGGCCACCACTTTCACAGCTTCTGCATTGACTGAGATTCATTTAATTTCTTAACAACTTAGCAACGTGGCTTCCTGTGGCACAGCAGCGGGGTTTACTGTTTTTTTCCGCTGTTGGCATTTGCTGGCTTCTTTCTCGCTGGTGATCCCTGTACGCTGATATAAAAGAATTGCTTGTAATTTGTTGTTTGTTGTTAATGTTATTATTGTTTTGTATGCAAATAATGCGGTTAACGGAAAAGGTTGACATCTCGAGGGTAGATAAGTAAATTAAGTTGCTCCCCATTACAAGCGAATCACATAAAATACACTTGCTAAATGCTGCTGCTGCTGCTTTTCGATGTTTTGTGGCGACGCGAGTGTGCTTACCTGCATATATAAATATGTATGGATGCATGGGTGTATATATGTATATATTTGTGTTCACAGTAGTTTTCGGAAACTTTCTTTAATTTGAGCACATAAAATACTTTAACAACCCATATGACAAATCGGTGCACCCACGCGGTAATAAACACCTCAGAGAACCCTCGTTAACAAATTTATTGATTTAAAAAATAAAAATAAAAAATTATATGCCCATGTAAATAAACTGAAATCAGTATCTAAACCTTCTTGGTATGAAAATAAGATACTGCACACAAATTTCGGTGATACATGCGGCGAGGAAGTCCAAGGAATATCGGTTGGGACTCTCTTACTTAGCGCAGAGTCGCCCTTAGTGCCTTCGATCTTACCTGAGCAACGCAGGTGCTCCTTCCCCACCATCAACTCAAAAGCCGAATGCTAAGCACTCACTCCTTCCTACGGGTACCTTAACAGTGCTAGTACGAAGATCTTCACACACTTTGCAGTACTGTCTGTACTTAAAAACCTACAAGCTTTTTTAACCTCTTTCAGTTCATCAGAGTCTGAGAGATCTCATGAGAGAGAATCGCTTTAGTAGTAGTGGCGAAAAGGTTGGACCTTCTCTAACTTATTAATATAAATTAGTCGTTACCGTTGGAAAACACCATATCATTTCATATCTTCTGATCGATTACAAAGTAACGTTGCGAAAACACTTTAAGGCGGTAGGTGATAATCCAAAAATATATGGGGCATAATCGCCATCGAGTATCGAATGCATGGCAGCTTTTCGATGTTAAGTCTTCCTTGCATTTTTGGGCGCATATTTTCTGCTGCACAGAGGCGATTACAGGCCGGGCAGAGAACCATTCCCCATTAAGGGCCCGGGCATTCCAGCTGCATACACTCAAATCGTGGTCTTTAAATGATTGCTGTGGTCAAAGTGGGGGTCTCATCCGAGGCTTTCCTGAATTTCTTCACTGTAAGGGGGTTTAAGTGGCGGATCCCAAAGCCAGCGCACAATCCATTGCTGGGAGGGGGGTGGTTTCGCAGCCGAATATACGCTTATAAATATATCGACCCGCTTGTTTCAAGAGAGACGGCCGCTTGCAGCCCCACCTACTGCAGAACAGACGCTGCAGACTTCAGTGAGCACTTAGATCGAGTAGGTCGGAGTGGCGCAATTGATCTCGGATTTGTTACCGCATCTCGTAAATTGCACGGTGCGCAGACGAAGATGCAAGAGTCGGCATTGAGTATAGCCTAGAAACTCTAGCTGCATACCCAGAACAACCACTATACCCCATTGCACTCCAGAAAGAAAGCGCCCGATAAAACTGTGTAGCCTTTGTCCGGAAGGCTGATACCGCGCCCTATTTTGTAGAATAACTGGAGCACCACATCAGCTTCTCACACATATATTTAACTAGTAGGCCTTCAGCACCCGTAAATTTGTTGGTTTTCATACCTAATAATAGAGAGCGGATGGGAAATTTAAACTGTCACCTGCGACTGTGGGCTTTGATTTATATCATCCGATGGTAATAGCACTGAGTTACACTTCAGCCAGGTAACGTTTTCCAGGTTTTCCAGATCGCAACGTTTGCAATTAAGGAGGCAGTAAGGTCCATCAAAGAGAATGCATCCACGAGAGCGCAGGTGAATATCTTCTCAGATATTCAGCGGCTGTTCGGGCACTATCTACAACCTCTATTAGATATCAACGTGTGGGTCACTTTATGAGAGAGCTGCCCTCGATTCCAGATCGATACATAATTACCCTAAAATGGGTTCCGGGGCTTAGGGGCATTTACGGAGGCATCGGACGAACTAGCAATACGCAGCTCCGCACTGAATGTGTACCACGTCGTGGACATGCGTATCTTGCTCAGGGGTTTGCAAGGGAAGCATCGCCGAAATTTATCATTCGCAATCTGGACAGTGGTATAAGCGCACAGGATCCTATATGATAACCCCGCAGTTCTGGATGTCCTATGACCCACCTAAAAGCAGAGTTCTTCTAGGAATGCACAAAGATAATACCTAAGTACAAACTAACGACAATCGGCAGAGGGCACTATACCCGTTGGTCTACATGTCGAAAGGATTGGCTTCAATATGTTCTGTCCCAGCGAGGACCCCGGGTCGAAGGAGACAGTGAACACTTTCTGTGCGAGTGTCCAACCCTCTCAAGGATGAGGCTAAAGACTCTCAGCAAACTGGCACCACTCGCTAATTGCTTGTCACCAGGCTGACAATCCACTTAAACCAACCAACCAATGAAAATGAAAATATCTCTTTTTTGTATAATTAAATTTTTCTTAGCTATATTTAATGTCTTCCATGGGTTTGCAACTTACAGCTAATTATTTCAAATCATTGTCTTCCATTCACTAAACTAAATATTAAACTATGCTTAACAAAAATTTAAAAACTAAAAACAGGCACAATAGATATCTAAACACAAATTTGTACATTGGCGCATCATAATAAATAATTTACATATACAAAAAAAAATAATACTAACAAGTTCCGCGTGAGGTAATACTCGTTACAGTCATTGGTTAATTACGTCGTTCAGTGTGTCTCTGTGGCAGCTGACTAGCTTTTCGATAGCAATCGAAGCCTACTATTTTACTTGTTTGCTTCAGACTTTCAGACCTCGTCCTGCCAAAGCGAGATGTAGTCAAGCAGATCCTCTTCATCGCCTGAACTGCAGCCCATTGCCTCTTCATTGTATTGCTGCTCATATTTCATTTGCATAGGCAACGAAAATTGTTGCATCGCCGCCAAAGCTGTTTGCGATGAGCCGTGCTGGTGGTGCTGGCTGTAAAGCGTAGAAGCGTCGGAGTTATTGCAGTCACTGGTGCTGGCGCTGGAGCTAACCGACCCGGCTGGTGATATCAGTGCTGTATACTGATTGAAATATTGCTGTTGCAGTTGCAATTGTGGCTGTTGATATTTGAGGTTTATGAATTGTTGTTGTTGCTGCAAAGTGTCTTCATAGCTGTGGGTTTGGAAGTGTTGTTGCACTTTATCAGCGTATACCATGGCATGCATGCCTTTCTTCGGTGGCGTTGGTGGTGGCGAATTGGTCGCGCTGGTTGCCATATTTGGCCAGCTGCTGAGTTCGACTGGCGCTTGCGCCATGACACGCTTCCCATCAACTTCGTCAATAACGCGCTTCAATCGGCGTATATATTCCAGAGCCATGCGCAACGTGTCCACTTTGGAGAGTTTCTTGTGTGCGCCCGGGCCAATGCCACGGCGGCCGTTGCTCAAGTCGGCAACAATTGCGGGCGGTAAGTGTTGGCGCAAATGCGTGAAGCCGTTGTTTACTTGTTTGACGCGGTTACGTTCACGTGCGTTGCGTCGCACCACGGCCGGATTGTTGGAGTCGAGTGTGGTGCCCCTGGTTCCGCCGTAAAACTTCTCGCCGCTTGGCGTTTTGCTCACCGCTGGCTGTAAACCGATTGGCGCAGGTGCGATGGCACGCGGCTGCTGGTAAGCGCTGAGCGTGCGGTGCTGCATCTGTTGTCTTTGGTAGGGATGATGATGGAGATGGCTGTTGCTGGTGATGCTGCCGAGTGCCATGTTTGCTTGCCTTGTATGCGTCTTTGCGATTTTTGTTAATCTTTGTACTTTGATTTCAGACTGTTGTCCTTACTCCGCAGCGCTTGGTGGCTGAATGATGCCCTTCCTGCCGTTGCTGCGCTATTTGTACCATTTTCCTCGTACACCTTAGTCGTCGCTGTGCCAAGTTAATGCACAGGAATTCTTTGATTCTTACCTGCATCACACGGCACCGCAGGAATCTGCGAACAAAGAGTAAGCTACTCATTGATTGTGGTTATGCTTACCTGTATTGCTGGTGGTGAGAGCTGCAACAGCATCCAAAGCAGTGCTCAGCGCTCGTGAAATGATCCTTCACTTTGAGGGTTAGCAGCTGAGTGGAAGTGTAAAGTATCGATCGGTCGAATAAAGTGTCTCTCTCTAATAAGTGCACTCTTCTTCTCTTTCGCATATTTACACTCTTTTATTTTGTCGTCATCTCTTACTTTAGCACCACTGGCTGCCGCGCTTCCCCTATTTTCATACACCTCTTCAGTGGGAACAGTTCCGAGGCGATTTTTTTTTTATTATTCTCGTCAGCATTGTGGAGTTCTCGCTCTCCATTGTTTGACTACTACTTCGACTCGGACGCTGATTACGTTGTTAAATGCATTAACTACCTTTGGCGTACGCTTTTGTTTCATTCGAGCGTGAGTTAAGTTGAGTGTTTTTTCCATATGAGTGTATAAGCAAGGTGCTATTGAGTATCGCGTGCTAAACTGGATTCCCATCAATCGAGTGTTTCTTTTCAAAAAATTCATTGGAAGTAAGTTTCTCAAATTCTTTTTAATATTTTTTTTTATTTAAAGCTGTCTGCAATTTCAACCTAACCATTTTCGCTAACCAAACGCAGATTAAGTTCTTCCTGATGGATGATCACAAAAACGCAGAGTGCCAAAATATTTCAATTTGGCCAATGTAGCCGACAATGAATTCTGTTGGAGGAAGCACAAAGTTTTACTAAAAGCTTACAAAAGAAATATGCGAAAAGCTAAGAAACGGCCCGGCAGTCTGCAAACTTGTCAGTTTGACCTCATTCCTCTTGAAAAAAAATTTTCGACATTCACACCAGAGACACACTGGCGTCGGCTGTTGGGCCCAATAATGGTCTTCATACCCCGCCCGGCACTGTGCATCGTGGAAACGCTTAGTCTGCCGCCCAACGACCTATTTGCGGAGACCGTTGCTGCTAAAGCTGCAAGAAGATTGAGGGCCATAGGAGAGCTCAAGTGCCGAACCTTCGAGAATAGCTGAATGAAAAACAAATAGCTCACATAGAGTTAAAAGGGAATGAGAGCCAGTCAATCAGGTGGCTAATAAAATTGCCTGTTTATTGGAGTAGCCTTCGGTAGAAGTCTTTGCTATTATAGCAGCAATTAAAGCAGTTACCTCAGCGGTTGGTAGGCTGGTCAAAAGTATGTAAAATGCTCACATCAGAGCACTATTAGTTTGACTACAGAGGCGGACGCGTGCAGAAACTGTTGAAGACACGAAGAAGGGAAATATTGGAGCTGAAGTCCTGTATTATTAAAAAACAATAAGTTAGAAGTAATCTCAATCAAATGTAGAGTTGAAATCACTACCAAAATTTTGCATTGCGCTCCACCATTAGGCTAAAAACCTCGAGTTTTTCCTTCAACCTGGCGTATGAACACTTTGAAATCTTTGAAAACTTCGGCTTCTTATCTGAATCGATGAAAACCTAGACTGGTTTCGAACTCATCAACCTCTGCATAAATTTCTCTAAGGGGTAAATGGCAGAGTGGCAGACCGAAGTTAGACGGCAGAGTTGAAAGAGGTAGGTTCTTTCAGAGACAATAACTCACCGTAAAGCTAATGTTTACGCTGAGGAATTTCTGCAGCGTTTTTTTTTTTTCAGGCGGGGGCTACACACCAGAGTACTACCAATGAGAAGGGCAAACATCTACTCTGGCAAACAGGGTTCTTGGTCCACTTATGGTACGATTGGAACTGTTCGCGGAATGTCTGACTTCTCTCTAGATCGCATCGGGTTACTTTTAAAATCGAACTGATTTGGGTCCGAGGACATAGTGACATTTCAGGCAACTGCATGGCTGTCGAATTGGCTAGGCAGGGCATCCTCGAGGCCATCGGGTAATCTTTCTTGACGAGAACAATGGGTAATCTTTCTTGACGAGAACAATGAGATGGCCGAAAACTTTGACATGCGCACTTATCAAATTTATCTTGCCGATAGTCGAAGCATCAATTATGGGTTCTTACAAGTGTTCTGAGTGGGCATTGTCAAGTAGGAGCCTTTGCGATACGACTCAGTATCCTCGTGGACCCTGTGTTGACACAGCTACTTGGACGATGATGAGTCGGAACCATATCAGCATTTCATTCTCATCTTTTTCTGCATGCTGGAGATCAACCGGTCTATGCCGTCCAGCAGTAGAATTCTGACAATAGCTACGCTAAAGTTTTGTGGCTAAAATGCTCTACAACATGAAAAGCAGTGGGGCCTAAAAGTATACACCGTGGAATGGTAACACTTGCAAAGTGTAATTAGCCACATCTGGCAGTGTGGCGGGAATGTAACTAGATGTTGCGTGTTGATAGGGGCGCCTGCTATTCTTTTGGAGATTTTTGGCTATCAAAATTAGCGATAGCAAATGTTGGAATCCGGCTCCAGAATATCCTAACCTAACCTAATAAAAAGAAGGAAAAAGGCAAAGGCATGAAACAATTTTATTTCATTTAGTAAGAAGTTACATAATTTTACAGCTCTAACTTCTATGACTGTGTGGAGTCATACTTTAGTTAATAGCCGCATTGAATCACAACATGGTAAACAACCCATCTAATCCAATTAGATTCAAAAGAGTTGGGCAATTATTACAAACCGCTGCCGCGCCCTATGCGCCCATAACTATAATTAACTGAGGTGTTGGTGAGGTGATCCTGCGTAGCAAAAACACACACTGGCTCACAGTGATCACGAACTGGTTTTAGACCAAGCGCTCTGCGTTTAGAATGCCACAATTTTGATGAGTTTCATAGTTGACTTGCCGCCGCCACATATGCTAATTAAAGTATAATAAATTACACCAATTACAAGCTAGAACATTTGATTTGTGCCTATGAATAATGTTGCAACATAAATTTGTTGGTTAACTCTTTGTTGAAAGTGTTGAAGTTGATGTTGTGCATAGTTCTGTTTTTCTCATTGAGTTGCGGGGTAACTAATCAGGATCTCCTTTCATGCGGCAAGAAGAGAAATATAGCTGAAGTGAGTATCACAAATACGAGTAGGCAATCTGTTGGTTGCTTAAGGAGTTTTCGTATTTTTATTATTTAATATCACTTCATAGGTACTTTAGACTAAAACAGATAGTCAATTGCACTGATAAGATTACTGCTTAAACAGTTAATTGTTTTGAATCGGTGTAGTACCATTAAAGCCACTCAATTATTATTAGAAAAAAAAAAACGCTGGCACATATTGTACCTAATCGGTTTTAATTACGCCAAGCACATCTCGCCAATGCCGTCACAATAATGGCATACACAACTACCTTCAGGCTGCCGATGACACGATCAGCAGGATTACAGCCCTCACTGTTGCACTGTTTGCACGAGCGATCGTGGGCTGCAGCGAAGTATGAATTTACAGTGTAACCACAACTCTGGAAATTACTAAAAATGCAACCCTTATGCATCATTTCGTTGGTTGCTAAATGAGTGATAAAGAACAGTTTAAAATTAATAGTAAAAGAGTTATTCAAAGCAACAAATGCAAACTTACGCGTCTTCAGCCAATCGCGCATACACTCGAAGCTATTGCTGGTAACATTTGGCACGCCCGTATAGTATAACTTTAGATAATCTCTGGTCTGGTTGGCCAATGTTTGGTTGCATTCCAGTTTGCTGGGCTTCTTACAATCCTTGGAAGTTGTGCAAGTAAAGCATTTTATAGAAGTTGCTACAGCAATGGAGAAATACAAATCGGCATATTTAATTGAAAAAAAAAACATCAAAAAAAAAGAAGAGACACTTAAATTATTGGGTCAAAAATAAGCGTAAAAACCTTACCAAACGAAATGCAACAAACGCCAATGATTGCTAGTGTGATTATAATTTTAGCGGCGCTCATTTTCGTAAAACAGTTGATCACAGATGCACTAACGAATTTACTATGAAATATCGCGAATTTCAAGTAGCTCGCTAACCCGTTTGACGCCAAGATAAAGATAATACCATGCGTTATCTAAGCAAACAACGGCGGCAATAGATTAGATGCTAATAGCTAAAATGCGTTCCCAAACCAGTAGGAAAACGAATGCTCTAGAATTAGTCATAGATTAGCCACATATTAAAAATATGTAAAAATACTCCCGCCAGTGGGCAGCAATCTAAGATTCTTCCTAACTCCTAAGCATTTCTGCAGTATAGATGTTCCGCAGAACGGCTCGGGACCATGCATGCGCATCTTGACTCCACGTTTTTCGAGAGAGTCAGCCCTTTCGTTGGCTTCATATCCTTCATGTCCAGGGGCCCATCCCAGCGTCTCAATATGGTGGCCTCCTAGCCGGTTATAAAGAGTTTTGCAACTGCCTTGATGTCTTTCTAAATGAGTCTAAGGCCTTTAATTCCGCCTGACTATCTGATAAACTATTTATTCTGGCCCTGTCTTCCCTTCAACGAAGACATTCTCGAACACAGATTTCGACTGCGAAGACTTCCGCCTGGAATATAGTCTGGAATCTGGATCAAAGTACGTCTGCCCCAGTACTCCCGTCGTTAATCTTCCATCCGTCAGTATACCATACTTGAGACCCTTTTTCTGTCATAGATATTAACACTTAACAGCAGTCCCTTTCAGGAATTCTTAAAGGATATTTTCGATAGTAAGATATCTGTGAGCTTCATAACGGGTTCATCCAGAAATGGCTTCAGAACCTTCAACTTACCCCAAGACTACCACTTTTCATGTTGCTTATATTGGGAATCCGCTCCAGCAGGCCTCATTTTTGATCAGCCTTTGCCTTTAATCACACGAAGGACATCCGTTGGACAGGTGCGTACTACTGCTTTTGTTATGGCCATGCAGAGTAAGCGGTGTAGCTTTCTCAAGGTGACATTCGCACTTACTTGCTTTGGTTTGGCCACCGGGGCAGTGCCGCATATGTAATAGGCTTTACCATGCAATCTGCGGCACTAGATACTACGCCTTTTCCGAACTCAACTCAATTTCTATGCTTTTCAAGGTGGGTCTAGTCAAGTTGAATTTCCTTCCCTTGATAAATGGGTCAATTTCGCTGCTAAAAGTAGCAATTATGCTGGAATTGACGGTCTTCCAGCTGAGGTATTCAAGTGCGGTGGCGAGTAGTGTGTTTTTTGCCTATCCAAAAAAAGGCATAGGGGTAACTATGAAAAGACTAAGCTCTGATTGAAATATGTAAATTAGAAAATATTAAAACCCGGGCGTTGCACCTCCTAGAAATGCAAAGGTTCACGCAGTCGATCTCTCGAACCATTCGAAGCTTAGAGGGATTGGTATCTTTCGTAATATCATAACAAAGTCTACCGGGCAGACAAGTTCATAAACTTAGTTCCATAATTTTAAATTACCATATCATACGGCTATACTGAAATGAGAGCAGAAACATAACATTTTAAAACTATTTTGTACGTTGCGTGAAACCCGCAGGTATAGGCTAGTATAGAAAAAAAATTGTTTCATATAAGTTCTTATCATTTAAGCACAATCACATGCGATATATGTGGAGCTACTTAAGTTAACATACTACCATTTTAATGGAGCGCGTCAACTTCATTAATTTGTTATCTTTATGGCTCAATAAAATTTCGCGTTAATAAAAGTCCATTCATTTTTATCAGTACTAGGGGAACCACCACGAAAAACGCCAAGCAAGAGCTGGTATTTTACTAACTAAAATAGAAATATGGGACATTAAGAGACAAGATTTAGTCCAGATTATATTCAAATTTAAAAGATTTTTTTGAGTTTTCTCCGAAACGTATGGTTAGGTTAGTTCAAAAGAGCTCAATGCTTAAAAAAATTAACAAAGAAATTTACGAAAAATAATGAACTGAAATCATTAAAACAAGATGTGATTTACATGTTACCTTTTATAAGGTCAATTTTGTTTATTTAAGGATAATTTCAACGGTTTATGTTATTTATTTATTTTAAATTAAAGAAAAACCCGTTTTTTTCGGGAAATTTGCAGTTTTTTTAATCTGGCAACACTGGGTGTTACAATTATCAAATAGTGGGAATAAGCTTAAGTCCAGTAATTAAAGTTGTCGCGGCTCATTTATTGATAAAATAACACCGTGCGACAAAAACAAAAAAATTTCAAAACACACGAAACAATCGTCAAAGCTACGAAACTATGGGCCAAAAATAGTAAAACTGCGGTTTTAGTTTCTCACAATGATGTCAGGATTTTTCTCAAAGGACTTTGAAATTTGAATGATATGCTTAATTCAAAAAATTATTTTAAAAAAATCCGTGCAATGTAGAATAAAAATATGGGTACCAAATAAGAGAGAACATTCTGTAGAATTTAAAAAAAAAGGTTTAAAGGTTTACAAGAACGGTATTGAAATGCACCTTCAATAAATTTTATCTTTTTAAGTTAAAAAAGTTTGCAGGAAGAAATTCGATGATTCGGATTGTGTGAATATGATTAGAATTGTGTGAATATTATTCCACAATCAATAATTTTTTCAAAAATAAATATTGCGAATTTTCAAAAATATTTAAAAAGGACATTTTCCATACCCATTCGCACTAATGCACCAAAAAATTTTTTCTGTTATAATTCTACAGAATTTTTACTTTTATGTGACACCATTATTTTTATTCTACATTGCATCGAATTTTTTAAATACTTTTTTAAATTTATCATATTTTTTAAATTTCAAAGTCCTTTAAAAAATCCTGACATCCGAGAGAAAAACTAAGTACGCACTTTTACTATAATTTACCCATATTTTCGGGAATATATTCATTTTTTTATGTGTAAAATTTACTGTCGCACGGTGTAATATTATAAAATGTGCGCGCCTTTGTACATAAACAAATAAGTAATTGCACGGGATTCTTGAGCTGAGAAATTTCTTAATATAAAAGACGTTACAGCTTGAAGAAGAGGCATACCTGAGCAAGATTTTTCTTTTAAAATAAGCCCAAATTATTTTAGGTTTCGTTCTGAATTCAGTCACTCAAATTTGCCTATATCTTTTTTTTCTTTAGCATATTTTATGTTATTTAATTTAATAAAATTTTTGTGTAGTTTACTTCATCTAATTTTCTTTTTTGATTTATTTCATTAAATATCTTGCTCAATTTATCTGAAAGAAGGAGTGTTGCTTTGAATGCGTACATACATGCCTAAACAACTACCCGCACAGTCACTTCGAATTAGAATCAATTTGTGGTCATACATTTTTTTTAAGAGAAATATGAATCATGACAAGGTGTTAGCCTATAATTATTGCCCACCGCAGTTAAATCTATTGCAAGCAGCGCTATAATTATTCGAGGTGTTAGTGAGGTGATCTTGTAAAACGAAAACATTTTTATTTTTAACACACAAACACACACTAATACACAGTGGTCGCGAACTGGTTTAGGCCCATTGCTCAGCGATTAAAATGCCATTCGTGTGTGAGGAGCGTGTGCACCGCGCATTTCAGAGTTTCCTTGCCGGTATAGGCTAATTAAAGTATTATAAATTACAACAATTACAAGCTAGATCATTTGATTTGTGCCTATGAATTATTGTTGAATACAAAAGTTGGTTATCGAATAATTCACAGCGGAAAGCGTTGAAATTGAATGCAGGAAAGCACTGCGGCAAGCAAAATAAAACATCATTCCACTGCTTCCTCTCTGGGACTTTTGTGTAGAACTTGTTATCGAAATATAGTAGTGAAAAAGGTATTACAATCTAACTTTTGATCGAGTTGACTTATCGCAAAATGACTTCAGACCTTTTTTGTAGAGCATTCAATTCTCTACGCTGCTCTAACTGCTCCAAGACCTTTACAGTACAATGTATCGTTCGATAAATATAAAAATCAGAAGCAAAAAAACCTCGTGGACGAAAATTTTTAAAAACAACTTCTGTAATAAACATTTCTGCATTTACCTATGAAAAAATGCGTCCATTTCGATATAGTTTGGTCGGAATGAATTTTTATTTGCCAGCGTGCGGGTCCGACTCTCGTGGCTGGATCGCGCGCAATCCGCGTTGACTTCTTGCGCAAGAAAGAAATTCACGTTTCAATCGGTTCCACTTTTATTTCTCATACTCGAATTTCGACCAAACTATATCGAAATGCACGAATTGTTTTCATAGATAAATTCAGAAAATTTTATTACAGAAGTTGGTGTTATTGGTGAAATTGCTTAATTGTTCAATTTTTCATTAAAAAATTAATGAAAAGCTAAAAAAAAATATTTTTGTAACGCAAATAATATCATTGTATAGTTTAATGTTTTTCAAATGTGCACCCAAAAAAATTTTATCATTCGGACACTCACTTTCAAAGAAAGATAAAAATTTCCAAAACACTACAAAAATTTTCAATTGTTGATTAAAAAAAAAAACTATTTGGAATTTTGCAACAAAATTTACAAAATTACGCTTCCTGAATGTCATTGAAAAATATTAATCTTGGTAAATTCGGGACCCACTTGAGGAAGCCTTACTCGTATGTTAAATCTACCAATATTAATTTTCTCAAAGTCCGTGCATTGAGTACATATCTGTGTTTGTATGGAATAGTAGCTTATGTCGAAAGGTTGCCTTTAGTATAATGCGGCACTCGAAGCATACTATTGCGAATGACTAACTGGCGCCGAGCCGTTGAAGAACTTTTGGCAACTAAAGAAAAAAAGAGAATGCCGCATTATACTAAAGCCAACTTCCCGACATAAGCTAAGTACTATTCCAGACGAACACAGATATTTACATATGTATGTATTTTTCCATGTTTCCATTCTGCAGCCAAGTGGATGCGTGTTAGACTGCCCACTTGTGGGTCATGGGTTCAACTCTGTGGCACGAAGATGTTTTCCTATGTTTTTTTTTTTTTTTATTCTAATGAAGGATTTGGTGTATAATTGCACAAAATAAATTTAATAAAATAAAAGTATTGATGCATCATTTACTTCCAAAGTAGATTTTTCGCTTTTTATGACGATGGAAATTATTCGCAGGCAAAATTTAACCATCTCAAAGTGCCACTATTGCGTAAGCTGCAAGTTTTTATTGGCTATTATCCAATAAAAACAAATTATTTCGACAAATTTTGTCGTGTTTTACTTATAAAATAAAATATGCGGTCTTATTGAATCACCCTACAGAAGGGAAAGTATATATCTACACATGTACTCAGTTCAGCTAAAGAAGTTTTAGTTGAAAAACGAAAATCTATTTTATGACACTTTGTTTAATATTTTAGATTTGAGCAAATTTTAATGTACTAATAAATACTAATAACAACAATTATTTATTTTACAAAAAAAAAAATAAAAAAAATATTTGGAGACCACTCAGTTGTACATAATTTTTGCCACAAATGCCAAAACAATGGCCGCAGTCAATGTGAAGATGCTGCCGGTGGCGCGATCCGCTGGATTGCGATTGCAATTGTTACCGTTGCACACTAAGCAGTGGCGAGCTGTATACGACCATGGTGTAAAGTTGCAAATGTTCATCGTACTGTAAACGCAACCGAGGTAGGTGTGATTGCTGGTGCCTGAAAAAGCGATATAATAAACGGTCAATTGACGATTTTCGAAATAGTTTTCTAAAGTATGTATGTACATATATACTATAGTATATTTATGTATTTATACACACCTGCTGAAATTAAATCATAGACGCAATTGTAAGTTGAACTGGTTGCATTCAGCTGTGTTAAATTCGCATTTAAGTATTGGACACCATAATTCACTGTTTGCTGGGCCAATGAGGAGTTGCAAGTTGCGGTGGTTGTGGTATGATTGCAGTTTTGACCCGACGAACTATCACAAATGTAGCAGCTTAAAGATGTGGCTGGAAGTAAAGAAAGAAATATAAAGGACCTTTTTAAAAAAAAATTTAAATGCTTAAGTAGAGCATGCGATAAGCAACCGAGCAACCGCTAAAAAGTAGACAAAAGTACAGTTTTAAAAAAAAAAAAAAAAAAAAAAACCCACAGAAACGTTATTCAACATCACCTTAGTTTGCTGGGAAGGGTTTTTAGGGTCGCAAACACATCTGGTATTCGGTCTAGTGCTAATTCTAGACTTCATACTAACTCTAAATTCATCTACCAGATGTAATGGCAATGCGCTGACACGTCACTATTAAGACAGGAGTAACACAAACTAATTCCAAGTTTCCTCAAGTAGCTCTATTTTGCTCTTAAATGTTCTTTGATAGTAACTGGTATTTGGTACTTTCAGACTATTGTCACTGCGATATATTTTACAATGGACTTGCCTGTTGTGGTTTAAATCCTATTCCTAACCTAAATCCTATTTTCCGCCAGCTTGCGTAAGAAGACCTCAACGGCCATCTTAAAAATAATTTGGTGGCAAAAGTGACCTCAGAAATTTTATTTCCGAGTAAATTTCGATTAACACTTCCCCCACCCAGTGGGATAGTAAGAATGCCTGCCCGATTTTTAAGTGCTCTTCGAATTATATCGCCAAAGAAATTCTCCAATTTTTCCTAGCTATTATTAACATATCGTTAGCTCCTAACCATAGCTCTCAGTACACTCACAAAAAAGTCAGCAAAATATATTTCTCTCAACACACGATTTGGTAACTATAACCAAATTATTTATTGAGAAAAACATATTTAGTAACAAAACTATTTTCTCTGTGTATAGTTGGCGTGCCGAAGCTTCTAAAAACTCGCTGTATAATTCTAGAAGAAAACGTTTTAAAGAAATGCGCTCGTCTTCAACTCTGAATGTGCGCAGCGCAAAAAGATGTATGTCCTTTATTAACTTTTTGCGAAATTCAATGAATGCGAGGATCACTAAAAAGCCCTAAGCAAAAACCAAGCAGGTGGTAAAAATTGTCTTATTGGTTTTTAAGATATTCTTCAGCAAGATCTATTTATGTACTTGTGCTATCGTTCAAACCAATTTCGTGACGGGGTCAGTAGCTTCTACTGGCAATAAATATCGTTGTAAGCGCAGTTTATCCCTGATGTGCGGAAACAAAAAATATTTAGTTCCAAACCAGGACTATATGCCGGGTCGTTTATCAATTTAATGTTTTGAGTGCTTAACGCTTTGATACCATTTTCTAAACTAGTCATCCAAAAAAACCAAAACTCAAATTTTCACAACTATTTTGTTTAAAATAATAATACAAGTAAAAAAATTATAAAAAATTGCCTGGGCGTGGTCTACGGCCCTTAGAATATTGTACGATATATCGTAAAATGTCAGAGAAAGGAGCAGTTATGTGGCATTTTTGGTACACATGCGGTTTTGCATCTTCGGTCAAAAAAATCGCATTTTCAGCTAAAATTAGATTTATATTCTTATCTACATATTTAGTTGCAATAAAATTAAAAATGATGAAAATTGTGAAATCTGTTCAAATTTATTGGTCACTGAATTTAAAATTTGCATGGTGTAGTTGACGCAAATTAGCAAATGCAAATCCATTGCATGTACAAATGTACATGTGTATAGTGTGTATGTTTATATTGTTAATGGTTTTTTTGTAGTTTAAACATATCTTTTTACATATAAATTTTTTTAAATTTTTTGTTAAAATATATTTTTTTTATGCTGATTCTCTTTACTGAAAAAAGGCTTAACCTCAGTTACATTGTGACTCTAAACAAAAAAATAAACCTTGAAGTTGTTTCAAAAACATTAATAATAATAATAATAATAATAGATTGGCGCTTACANTTTGGCCGAGCTTCTCCTCCGATTTGTGGCGTGCGCCTTGATGTTGTCACACAAAGCGGAGGGACCTACAGTTTTACGCCGACTCCGAACGGCGATTGTATTTTTATGAGAAGCTGTTTTTCATGGCAGAAATACACTCGGAGGTTTGCCATTGCCTGCCGAACAAAACATTACTTCCAACTAAAAAAAAAATATTAATTTTTTTATTTTTATGCAAATTTTCTTTTATCAAAGAAGACCTTGGCTTCAGTGACATTATTTTATTAATGTGGTTGTGCGATTATTTTTTTTTTTTTAATTTGTATTTCTTGCTGTATATAAATGAATATTAAATTTTTGGGATAAAAAATATGAAATTACCTTTCTAATGATACATAAAGTCTAAATCAGTAAAGTTTTCGCTGAGTTATTGATATTTTTCTTAAACCAATCTTTGAAAAAAGTCCAAAAACAGCACAAAAAATCACATTATTATGATACCGTTAAAATATTATTTTTATGCAGAGTTTTTAAGCTTAAACAGATTTGTCATCTGAGGAGATTTTTTCAAAAAATACTTTAAAAAATTTTTTTGATTCATAAAAACTAAACTTTTTTAAGGTTTTTTTTTTCAAATCGGTCCAGCTCACGTAAATCTTAATATTTTTCCGAAATATTTCGCATAAACCTTAAAATGTAATATGTTTTATAGTTCCAATGAAAAACAGTACCGTTTTTTTATTTGGGGAGGGATGCAGTCTAATGTACATACATATGTACCTATATATTTCGTGTTTTGTTTCATATTCGATTTTTAACCGACTTCAAAAAGAGGAGGAGGTTATATAAATTCTTCGAAATATATATATATTTTTTTATGTATGTTACTGCATAACTTTGGACCACGTTAACCGATTTCTATAATTTTTTTATAGGAAAGGTGGTCTCATACTAATTTGGTCTAGATCCGTTCACTGGATCATGAAGAAACTAAATTTTTATATGAAAATTGAAGTCGGTTTTGTCTTTTTGCTTCAAAATTACTTGTTTCACAATTTTGAGAAAAAGAATCCTATAAAACACACAATCACAATTTTTTCACTTACTTAATGTAACACAAAAGCACGCAACAAGAGCCAATGCGAGTAAAATTTTCACTTTACTCATTTTGTATAGAGTGTTATAAAAATTAATAAAATAAAAAGAAATCGAGCGCGAGGAACTTCTGTGGCTCACAGCTGACTGTTAACTGAGTATAAAAACGAAATGTGTCAAATATATGTATATAAAATAAACACAAGAAAAAATTAAATTTCACTGGAAATAGATGACGCATACACATATTCATACGTGCATATGTACATACGTATGTACATATATACGGGTCCAATAGGCTTTTCTTTTCTTCCGAAAAAATGTTATCAACTCGTATTAAACTTCATATTACCTACTTCGCCAATACAGCAAGAAAGGGGCAATGCGAGCATTTTTTGTACAAACGATAAGGCTATGAGTTAAAAAAGCTTATTTGTAATCATATGTATTTATAGTAAGCAACAACAATGCCGCTGATTGATAGGCCTTATATATGTATATACATATGTACATACATACTTAGATTTAATTTACCCACGGAAACTTTTGCCGCACGATGTATCATTCTTGCACAAAGCGTGTCGCCAAAGTACCAGCGACTCGGTACGTGTCCGCTTTCCAAGTTGCTTCCTCTTCCATAAGTTATGGGCTACCGCAACAAAAGTTCCCTGGTCTAAACGCAGTACTAGGAAACATTAATTGCTTTTATCAAACCCATCGATATGTTTGCGTACCCCCATTAGTAGTGTAGATAAGGTGGGAATTAAGGGGACTGATTACACCATCAGAGTCAATAACGAATAAATACACAGTGCGACAAAAAGGCAAATATAGAAATACACCCGAAGCAAAATTTATTAGGGCGGTCCAAAACTAGTAAAGTAGGTATTGTAATGCTCTCAACCCCTAGGATTGTTCTAAATCGAAAAAAGTATAACCCTATTTTTTTATTTAGAAATCAAATTGGTCCCCTCCATGGCATTTTTCGGGGCTTTCGTGGGTTTTTGGCGGACCAATAAATTACAGTTGCGATGAAATAATGGCTAAATAAATAATTAGGTATTATTATTGGGAATCTCCAGCAGATGAACACAGTTTTCCGATAGAAAAATATTGATTTTTAAAAATTCTATACCATTTCTACGCAAAGTTGTTTTTCCCCATATAAAACACATGGAAAATTTTGGGCGTTTAGAGCGACCTCTAAATATTTTTTGATTTCAAAATAAAAAATAAGGATATATGTTATTCAGTATAGAACAAACCTAGGGGTGAGAGCATAAAAATTCCGACTTTACTTTTTCACATGCATTTTTGGACCACCCTAATGCACATGGCATTAATTTAACAAAAACTTGCTAATAAAAGGTTAAGAATAACATTTAGAAAAAGACCAACACAAGAATGTAAGTATAGGTGAGTACGTACATACATAGATAAAGAAAAAGAATAAAGGCAAAGGTAAAAATAAAAACAAAAACAAAGAAGCGTTAAAATGAAGGCAAAAATGAAGACCAAGGTAAATTTAAACACTTTACTTATATGTATAAGGGCAAAGGTGTAGGGGAATATATAGATGAAGAAAATCATAAACATAAAGGTAAAAACAAAGATAAATTTTAAGAAAAAGATGAGGATGAGGATACCGATAAATGTAAAGATGAAGATAGAGGAAGAAATATTAAAATGTATGCAATTACAAAAAAACGATATAGATAGAGACATAGACTCAACCCGGGAACTATTTCGTAAATTTCGGTATTCTCGGGACTTATCGATATAATATCGATTATTTTTATTGATATGTTTATCGACATTTTTATAGATTTTTTATCGATATTTTCCTCGATTTTATCATCGATATTGTTATCGATTTTGTTATCCGTTATGTTTTCGATATAGTAATCGATATTTTTTATCGATTTAGTTATCGATATTTTTATAAATTTCTTATCGATAATTTTATCGATATTTTCATCGATTATGTTATCGATGTTGTTATCGATCTTATTATCGGTATTTTTATCGATGTTTCTATCGATTTTGTTATCATTCAACATTAAAATAAAGATATGAAATTATAAAGAAAAGGATACATATCGTTATCTATGGTTTCTTTATGGGGTGAAGAAAAAATCCCACAGAAAATCAAGTCCTTTTGCTGCGAATTTCTTTCAAAGGCTGTTTTTGTTGAAGAATGTAACTATTTTTATGCTACTAACTAATTTAAAATACAATAGGTTTTATAGTGAATAAATGGCAGACCTTTCAACGGTGCTGGATTTGAAAATAAACACGGCTTTAGCGAGCTCCTCATATGTATGTAAATATGTATTATCATAAATTGTTTGTCTTTAAAATATAAAATTTGCAATATTTGGCTTAAGTAGTTACGCAAATATCTAATTTATTACATTTGGAAAATCACCGATCGTTATGGGCCAATACTAACCAACAAACTTTGAACTAAGTTACACAAATGCGATTTAATAGTCTCTGTTTAATCTAGGAAGATTCCAAAATCTTAAGCTACTTACCATTATCCGCTCAGCGTCAGGCTGTCTGGCCAAGTGTCTGGTATACGAAAAAAAGAAGAATAGCTAAAATGGAAAATAAAACGCCTACACCACAAGTGGTCTAAAAGTCAAACACTGGCAATAAAAAGTCTTTCAACCATTGAAGTTATTCGCAGTTTTCACAAACAGTGCTGGGCATTTCCTTCTATAGATTTCGCTTTTCCTTTATACGCCACTGACCTTCGTCGCCCAAACGGACACATGCCATGCGCTGCGCCGCGGCACGTCCCAAGAATGTCCCCGCTAAGCATTGCCATAACTAAATATTATATTACCTGTATAATGCATTGTCCTTTAAATTTCCTGCCTACCTTTCGTAACACATATTTTACATTTGGAAATAAACAATTTCGTTATGGTTGCAGGCCAAACGGCTGGAGTGGATGGACACTTGCGTCGTTGCAGAATAATGGCACGCCGGCGTGCTGAGTGTCATTTAACGCTTCTTTATGCGTTTAAATGGACCTTTATGTGATCTACGAGTAATACAAAAGTGATTTTGAACTATAGAATTTTTAGCATTTTATGTGTTAAATTTATTGAAAAGATAAAAATAAACTACCGGCTAAGGTGCTGAGCTGAGTGAGCTCGTCGCTATTTTCCATATCCGGTTGCATGGCTTATTAAAAAGAGTATAAATAACAAACTGGATTTCCGTCTCTTCATATACATATGAAGCTACATATTGTCTCCACACTAAAGCGAGAAGGAGGGATCACTTTGTTGTTTTGCCGATACGAAAATAGGCGTGTATAGTTTGTAATAAACATCCTTCATTGATAAACTACATTTTTCAGATAATGCTGCAGAATAAAAATTACATGCTAAAATCTTGCGTATTTTCAGTGTAATAAGCGAATATTCATCTCTCCAGCCTTCGCAATCTGTATGGTGATTATCAATTTTTAATTTCAAACGCGCAATAGGCATTGTTTTAAGCATATAGCTAAATAGCGCCAAATAGCAGAAATAAATTACCCTATTGCGGTGCAGTTAAATAGCGCCCACGGCTTTATTTCCTAAAAAAGAAGAAATAAAGCCCGCGGCAGTTATTGTTCTTTCGAAAGGGAAATAACGCCAACCGACAAAGGGCAATAAAGCCCGCAGTTTTTATTTCCTTTGCGAAAGGGCAATAACGCCCGCGTATGTTTTTTTCTCTGGCTTTATTTTACTGAAACATACCAATTATAATTTTAAAGATCTGCAAGCATATATTTATATAAAAACGGAATAATATTTTAAACGAATCACTCAATTATTGCATACAAATTCTTTCAACCTATAAAAAATTATGCATATCCACCGTTGCGTCATCCAGAGTAGTTCTGCGTGAAATTCCCTTCTTCGGTATTTGTATGCATAAACGAACGATATTTTTAGCCAATTACTAATAAGCGAATTACAACATCAACATATTAAAGGTAAATTGTTATTATTTCGAATTCCAAAACCTATTATATTGAGCGTTTTGTTTTAATAATAAGCCCCGAAATGTGCTCTTACGGCACGGCAATTATTTTGAATTTTAAATTCGAGCGTTTCGTGTCCGATTTTCCTTCAAATTGTTCGATAGTCAAAAAAAGTATGTCTTTAGATTGTTTTTAGGAAAGGGAAATAACGCCTACCGACATAAGCCAATGAACCACATAGATATCGATGGTTCTCTGCAATAATGACAAAAATACTAAACTAAAACGAAAAAAAAACCGACTTCAATTCTCGATTATCGTTGCTTTCTTATTATCCAATGGTAGGATTTAAACCAAATTAGTACAAGACGGCCTGTGAGGTAAAACCTTTCCTTTAAAAAATTATAGAAATCGGTTAACGTGGTCCAAAGTTATGCGGTAACACCCAAAAAAAAAAAAAAAAAAAAAAATCCGACGAATTGATAACCTTCCCCTTTTGAGAAGTCGGTTAAAAAAATTTATCATCTCCCTTTTAGCAGCTATTTCAAAAGAGCGTGGTAGTTTTGAATTAAATGAAATTTTAATGCAACCTCAGAGTTTTTAATGTAAACAATTTCCTTTTTAAAAATCCTAATATGCATTTATAATTAATATCTCAAGTATTGAATTCGCTAGTTTGTTTAACATTATTCCTGCCCTGATATGCTTATCTTCTGAACTCCATAAAATTTGCAAAATTTAAAGGACATTCATTGCATAAAACAGCTTCAGACTGTAGCGAATCAGAAGAATAATGAGCTTTTTGGCATTTATTGGCATGAAGGCGTCGGTACATTTGTATTAATAATACTTACATACATACGAATATATGTACAATGAAGTACATAGCTGTCAAATGAAAAATTGAATGCTTTCACTTTCGAATATTATTGCAAGTGGTAAGTGGCAAGTGGCAAATGGCAATACTGATAATTAATGAGATTCATGCAACAGCAACACAATTACCAAATGACAATTCAGAAGTGGTCGCCACCGACAATGAAAGCAATCACAAGAAAAACAAACTAAAGTTGAAATCAAAAAATCCACAAACAGATGAAGAATATGGGCACAAGGAAGAATAAAAATAAGAGGAAGAAACAAAAAACACGCTGACCTATCATAA